CCTCCCAACAGTGTGCACCGTATCATCCCCCCACCTGGACACCCATGTGATGACCTGTGCAAGTTGCCATGACCTCGTCCCGCCTCATAACTGCAGCTCTCAGCAGCCTCCATCCCCGTTCTGTGAACAGTAGATCCGCTCTGCGTCTCACTGACGTCGCGCCCTGCCCCCTGCTCCTCCCTCCAACGACAACCACTGCCCTCGACGCGAACCTCTGACAGCACGGCGGCCGCGACCGCCACTTCTGCATCGGCGTTGCGGACATCGACCCGCTCACCTCCAAGCTCGACGCCGCCGGCGTGCCCTACACCCGCTCCGCGTCGGGGCGCCCCGCCATCTTCTTCCGGGACCCCGATGCTAATGTGATCGAGTGCGTCGAGGGCGCGGACCCCTGGCGATGAGCGGCCCCCGAGCGGCCGCAGGCGCGACGTGCGGGCGCCCGTGCGCCGCGCCGCGGCGCTGCCGCAGCGCGCGACGGCGCGCAGGTCGCCTGCCGCCGCGCCGCGCGGCCCGCGAGGGGCCCGTGCCTTTCGCAGCCACCCGCGCTGGGCTCTGCCCCCGGGCCTGGCGTTGCGGGCGTGGGGGTTGAACGACGGCCGACTTTTGAACGTAATTGTGTATCACGTGCCATTCCGTGCTGCAAGTGTCTCCTGGGGACGATGGCCACACCACACCCCCGCCGACGAGCCAAATTACATCAGCCGCCCCTGGCGTTGCCTATCCCAACACCATGTATGTGTTTCCTCCCTCGGGCCCTCGGTGCCCTGAGTTGTGCCGCTTGAGAGCTTGCACTGCTGTTTCCGCCCCAAACCCTCATTCCGCAGCAGCGCAATAAGAGAAAGCCTGCCCTCGCCTGTGGCTTGGCTGGCGGCCTCGGCGCGCGAGAGCGTGAGCGTGTTGGCTGTCATCGGGCGCACTTTTCCAAACATATCTGTTGAGGGGCGTCCCCACTTTGCATTCTGGCGGCGCGCCGCTCCTCTGTTTGAGTTTTTCCAACCGCGTGCTGCACGCTCGTTCGAGGCTGTACACCACACCGAGCGCGCCCATGGCCTGCTCCATTCGGCCGCGGCGCGTCACGGCCGCCCGTTTGCCTTCCCGGGACGCCACCGCCTGGAGCGGAAGCGGCACAGGCGCCGCCCCTGTATGTCAACCGCCACTGCCCCGCTTCCATCTACAGCCTGCGCCAGCCCAGTCGAGCACCTGTGTTCCTCAAAGTGCAGGCGCTGCAAGCGACGGAGTGAGGAGTCCTGCTTACAATGCGCGCTTTTTGCCCTAATTGCAGCCCGACATCCCACACCCCCTCTCCATACCTCTGCAGCAACTCAACACCCTGCCGGTCCGGGCTTCAACGTGGCCTTGTTGCAGTGTTGTCGCCGCGCCCTGAGGGGGCACTGCTGTGTGTTGAAACCGGGCGCCGCGCGCCGTGCAACCGCTGTGCGGCGACCGGTGTCTATTGTTCTCGTGCACTGAGAGGTTACAAATTTATCTGCTTGTGACCGAAGAGCCATCCTGTAAATTTGATCAGCCCCATCCCTGCCCCTGGATTCAGCGAGCCGGCAGTTCAGTGGGGGGGGTCCGGTTGTTGGATGCAGCCGGGCTACATGCAATGCGCGCACCGGCGCCCCTCTCAGGCATCAGGCTGTGTTGCCATTAGTCATTTCCTGTGTCTGCAGTCCCGACAACTTCGTCCCGACAACTGCAATGCATGCGGGGCAGATGCGGTAGGCCTTTTGTTGGCAGCCTGCTGCAGCGGGTGATGAGCATGAGCAATGCAAGCTCCTTTGGCTGACTGCCGGGTGCGAGTTGTACTTATTGTCTTGGTGAGTCGAACGCGGCTCTGTTCCGGCTCGCGCAGCGAGGGTCACCCGGTCCGATCAGGATCAGTCGTTGCGAGCGGGTGGGCGACGAACATGACCGCTCCTCAGTGGAGGCTGCATGTTACAATTTCACGCTACTTCGATAATTCCTTTGAAACCTCGTTCAACTCTGCGAGAGCACTGCACCTGGCGTCCCGGGGACCTGCGCTGCCCGAAATATTGGGGAGCCCGTGCCGGCCATCATGGCGCTGAAAAAGAAGTTTCAGCTGAACCCGACGTTTGTGGCATGGTCTCAGCTCGTGCTTCGCCTCCTGCAGGTGGGCAGCCCTGGGCGGAGCACCCGTTGAACGGCCGGGGACTGAGCAAGAGCTCTATGGGCATCCTGCACCCAGCCAATGTGCTCGGAATAATATCAGATGATCGTGGGTTGGCATAACTCCCTCCTCAGGTGCTGTTTTTGATGTTCCTCATGGCAGCGTCTGCACGCGTCGTGCACATCGGCGGCGCCTTCGGCTCCAAGTGAGCTGCCCCAATGCGCGCTTTGCGTGTTTGGCAGGGAACACCTACGCAAACCTTATACATTAGCACGGCACACTTGCTCGACGTACGCCCCCGTCACCCGCCGGTCCATCAGGGCTGTTGGCCGGTCGGGCGGCCAGGCTGGCCGGGCAGGCGGCCAGCATCCCGGGCGACACCCCGACGCGCCACTCCCCACTCCCGGCCCGGCCCCACCAAACCCATCGCCCCTGCACACCCCACGACCCAGGTACACCAATGGAGCCGTTCTCGGCCTTTTCGTTGCTTTCGGCGGCCTCGCGGTCTGCTTCCTCTACATACTGGGGCCCAAGTCTACACGCCTGTGGCGGTGAGCGGCGCCCATTGGCAGACCAGGAC